AGTTTGCCCTTTCCTTTGCACTTGAAGGGGCTGTTTTGTTTCTTCTTTCCTTTTTTGTAGCTCTCTTGGGGTGTGGCTTGCTTAGTTCCTTGCTAGGCGGGTCATTTTTCTTTAATAAATTTGCAGGTTGTAAAAAAAGTTATCTAATGATAATATGAGTACATTATGTTTATTTAAATCCAAGACTTAAAATAAAATAAGCACGATTATCATCTTCTATTTCTATATTTAGTCAATGACCATTTTAGAAAACTAATTATATCTAGAAAATAAATACAGTAGAGCGATTCTGGTTGGTGTCTTACAATGCATATTTTGATTATGTTTCCAAAAAAAAGGATTGATTATTTTGTGATAAGCCTCTTCTATTTTGGCATTTTAATGATTAACCTTTAAGATTAAGATTTTAGTTCTTTTTCTGTACTTATCAAACTTAACAAACACATAATATAAATTTCTAAGCTATCTATAAATGTTTTTTTTTCTACACTTTACACCAAAAATGACTTAGGAATTAATTAAATCGTAACTTTTTACAAGCTTCTCATCATTATCTATTTTCTTCTATTACTATGGTCAAATTTTCAACTACCTTTTCATTATCATTTATTTATTCTAAGGAAAAAACAGGACAAAATATGTCCAATGTCAAGTTGTCAACCATACCACCTTTCAAGATCATAAAAAAACACCATTAACACTACAAAAAACATACCAAAACTATCAAACCCCAAATCTTTTTTTCTACATTCACCATCAAAACAACCAAAAAAACCATGGTTTTCAATCACAAAAACCCTCTTTATGAACACATTTTTCCAGACTAGTTCGGGTAAAGATTACGAATGCCATTTGAAGCAAGATGATTAGGTATTGTATGACCTAATCCAGCAGTGTATCTTATCCCTCCATTTATCATCTTTGAGCCTAAAAGATTCCCATCATGTGAAAACCCTTGAGAAACTCGATTCGGGATCCCAAAACTATTCAAATTATCAAATCTTTGATTATGGTTTAATCCAACCGGATACCCATTTCCTACACACAAAGATTCATTATTGTTATACCCGAAGCATTGAACTCTTTCTTCCCCTTGATGCCCATGATAGTTGCCTCTTTCAAGTTTCAAACTTGTGTCATTTGATCTTGAGTTTGGTAAAACCATTGGTAAAGTCAAATAAGAAGACGTAACAATTTGATCTGGGGTGTTGGTAAAGCTTGGTTTTTTACTACAAGAATCTATCAAGATTGGATTTTTTAAAATGGGTTCCTTTATTTCTTCATTGTTAACATGTTCTTGAGGGTGATCTATACCCTTCTTCGGTTTTTCTTGAGTGGTCTTCCTTTTTCTTGACCGAGGTTTCTGTTTCTGATTCTGGTTCTGGTTTTGGTTCTTTTCACTTTCCTTTTTCTTTCTTGATCTTGAAGATGGTTTCAATTTCATGATTTGATCCATTTCTTTCCTCATTTTATCAAACATGGTCTCTCTTGCAACTCTAAGATCATCCAAGATTGATTCGGTAAAGATCCTAAAATCATCTGAAACCGTCATTTGGCTTAAAAACTTACTCTTTTTCTTTCTACTACTATTGTCTTTCTTCTTTATGTTAGAAGATGCACAAGAATCTTTCTTTGATTTTGTCTTCACTTCTCTTTTGTTTTTCTTTTCCTTTTTTGGTGTGTTGCGGATTCTTTTTGGCTTTTTTACAACTTCAACAGTTTCACTCACTCGATCGATTTCAGGAGAAACCAAATTAGGAACCAATAGAAGTTTTTCTTGAGTATGGCCCACATCAGAATTTGATTTTGAATCATCGCTAGAGGAATCAACGTTCCTTCTAAATCCCCAAATTTGTTCAAATTTCTGATTTTCATTCATTTTCTTGATCTGGGTACTTTAGAATTCGATATTTCTATGCGAATCTTGATCCGACTTGTGTGAATTTAACTTTTTAAATAGATTTTCTTGCAACAGATGTTTCTTAAACCATTAAAGAACCTCCATGAGAGCTTGAATCAACCTTCAATTAAAGAACCATTCACAAACAAATAAATTTCTCACAAAAAAATTAAAACAATAATTCACCTCCGCCCCTAATATTCTAGAAAATCAGAATATGACACAATATTCTTTGTTTGCAACCCCAGATATTTGATATGCTGATCTAGTTGTCGATGTTTGTCTTCAAATAAATTTTTATATTTACAATTAAGATCATTTAACAGTGAATTACGAACTTTTTACATGGAATTTGAAGAAACAAGACACAAAAATTTTCAACATTGTGAAGTCGAACACTCTAATTCATATTTCATTTTCATGCCATAAAGATTCGGCTAGTTGACCAGTTTTAAGTCAAACTATTGCTAAAAAAGGAACTCTGTGAGCATAAAACAGAGCAATCAACCAAAAAGAGAAGGACCCAAATACCCAACATCAAACCCTAAAGATTTATCAAAATGTCAATGTAATTGTTTTGATTATAAACCCTATGAGCAATCAAGCCCAAATTGCGTAAAATCGTAACAAACAAAACATACAAGATTCATATTGCATTAAAACCTACAAACCCCTCTTAAAAATGAGTAACAATGCAAGATATCATCATACCTTCATAACAAAGAAGATGAAAAAAGGATCAATCTTTATTCAAGAAACAGAATTTCATCTTTCGCTTTCTGCATCAATTTCCTTGAAAACATTTGGTTTCTAGGGTTTTCTTTATATGGAATTTATAAGAAACTTTGTTGTTGAAATGGGTTTGTGTTGTCCAGTGGTGTATATATAGCATATAATACGAAACGAGGGAAAGAGAGCAGAAAGTAAACACGAAGGGGAGTGAATATGTTTCCTGAAGTGGAATTCCATTAAATGTTATTAAATAATTTTCTTGATTTTGATTACAAGAAAGTTCTTTCTTTTAGCTAATAAGGTTTTATCACTAACATGTTTTTTTTTAATAAATTATTATAATAAATGTCGGTTTAATGAAAGTAGATATCTTTCACTTTCTTCATGCAAGATAAACCATCCTCTTGTGACCATATTATATAGAAAAAAATACAATATATAGATTATATTAATGCTATCACAATATTAATCTCTTAGTCTAGTAATTTTAATCATGCAAAACATAATTATATCATATACAAGATATTTTAATATGTTTCATATGCTTTTTCTAATAGTTGTTTCGAACTTTACCCTTGTCTTATTTGCTTGTAGAAGTAAACAAGATGATAAATTATATACTTTCCGATTTTGTTTAGATATAGACAGCTAAAGAGAATCGATGATTTATTGTGTATATATGTTAGGAATTGATATGGTAATCACGAACAATTTTGTAAAATTTGATTAATACATATGAAACACGTGAGAGTATGATCTTTTTAGTTTTGCTTAAAACATTACATAATATTAATTAATATAGAGTGCAAAATCTAGTATATTCAATATATTGTTGGCATTTTACTATTTACTTCATACATGATTAGTCATGAAATATGTTTAATGTGAACTATCCAATAAACGAGGTTTACCATGTTTTTTTTCATATAGTAATAGTCTAAGCCAATGTTACCAATACATTTCAACATTTAAGAATTATTTAATGTAAAAGGTTATATGTGACAATTTCAATTATGTATGAATATGTTAATTTAATTTATAAATAAGTGTAAAATTTGAATTAAAAAACCCCTAGCTACATGGGTTGAATGGGCCAAATCCAAGGTGATTTATTATATTGGGCTTGTTTTTATTCAAAACTTTTCATTTTTAAAAAGTTATGGATGATATAAATTTAGAAATATAAATTTATTTTTATTTATATAAATTTCAATAATACTGTCATTAAAAAAAAAACTAAAACATCATTTTAATTATAGATTTTACAAATTCGCTAAAAAAAAATTCTTTATCATAATTCTATTTTAATATTTGATGGTATTTTACCATTGGAAGAATTTTATATATGTCCCTCTTAAACTTCAAAATATTATATTTGTCAAGTTTAATTTTTCAATATCATATTTACCCTTCATAAACCTTCAAAATATCATATTTGCCCAAATCCTTTTTTATAATGTTTTTAATATAATCATTTTTATACCTTAGAATTATTATAATAATTAAGAATTTAACCATATTATCCTTATGTCTATGATAATGGAATGTGAACTTCTAAATTGTTTGAATGTCGGCCTCTTGACAGACAAAAAGATTCATCTTCAACCTTTTCTATGGAATGTATATTTTGATTGTTTAGTTTTTGTTGTTGTTGATTATTATCATATTGTGGATGGATGATATTTTAGATAATACAATTGATATTTTGATATTTAAAAAGTGCATATACGATATTTTGATATTTAAGAAAAACATAAATGATATTTTGATGTTTAAAAACAACATATATGATATTTTGAAATTATATGATATTTAGAAATTTTATGAAGGATAAATATGATATTTAGAAATTAAGTTAGGTAAATATGATATTTTGATGTTTAAGAATGATATATATAAAAATTCTCTACTTTATCGTTCTATCCCAAATAGATTATTATGTGAAAATCTATTAAATATTTATAAAAAATAAATAAGAACAAATGGTGTTTGTGTTGCCTTTCTGAATCAAAGTAATATCTATTTACGTCATTACTCAATATATTCACATCATATAAAAGTATAAAACCATGTATTAAGGAAACTTATAAAGGGATAAATTATCCCGAAATGAAATTGGTAAATGAGGAGTGACGAGTGGGATTGTTACGAAACAATTCTAATCGAGTAGTGAAGAGTTAAAACATTTAGCCTTTGGGGTGAAACTTTGATTAAATAAAAGTTTAGTGTCCCAATTGAAAATATGGTTTTCTAACTCTCAAAAGCCAATCAAGATCACAACGTTACGAATGGAACTATAGAAAACACATTAACATTGCATGAAACTGATTTTGCCAAATCGATAATTTATATAATACAATTAACATAACCTGATTTTACTAAATATTACAAACACCAAAAATCCAAAAGTGGATGGATGAATATTATTACTCTAGAGATACAAAAATTTCTTCTAAAGCTATTCAAATCCTAGTTGCCAATTCTAACCTCTAATATAAATTATCCAAAAAAGAAAGAAAATCCACTACAACTACAACTTACTAACATAAACATCTTTGACTTTTCTCTATCTTAACTTCTCAAGATCATTAAAAATCGTGGAAATTTTTAATCTTTTTAAAAAACCCAAGACACCCTTTTGAAAATCATGCACGTGACATTGGAGAAAACGGAGGGTTGACCAAAAAAGAAGGTGGGAATTCGTTCTTGACTGGTTTTCTTTTGTCTTCTTCAACCACAGCCTCAATCAAATGTTTGACTTCATCTTCAACAAAGACTCTTAAAGAATCACATTGCAACATTTCTCGATTTTTATCATGATCAACAAGAATCGATGTTTCTGTAGTGTGCAAGATAGCAACACAAATCGAAAATGCTTGTAGTGAGGTCAACTGCTCATGAAAGTCAACTTCATATTGACCTTCTTCGGTCAACTTCATGGTCAATGCTGATGTCTTCTCTTTACTTCCCTGTGTCATAATATGATTGTTTGTGAGAAAGAAAAAAAAAGATAGTTAAAAATAGTCCCTTTTTTCAATCAAGAAAAGAGATAGTCTACAGGTTGACTTTTGAGGTCAAACTTCCTGTTTTCAAGAATCAAAATTAACAATCTTTTTTTTAATCTTTAATGTGACTCATTCAAAAAATTCTTCCATTTATGATAATTTAACAGAGTGAGAAAGTTAGAAACACCCTTTTTTCATGAATCAAGAAAACGAGATACATTCCAAAGGTTGACTTTTGAAGTCAAACTTACTCCTTTCAAGATTCCAAAATTAACAATCTTTTTCGACCTTCAATGTGATTTATCTATCCGCTTCAATCAATTTAAAAACATTCGGTAATAAAAGTCAACAATATAAATTTGAATTAAAAAAAAAAAAAAAAAAAAAAAGCTTTACCTTTATAAAAAGTTTGACTGGATGTTTACAAGCTTCCTCTTTCTGAATACTAAAGTTGCTAAGAACAACAAGAGGGCACCCCATATCCCATCCTCCACACTCACACCCTCCACCTAATCGCCACCTGTCAAGCAACGGAGAGGGCCCACGACTTTCGCCACTTGGCAACCCATGAATGGCTGAAGGGATCACAACACTCACTTTTGCAGATTCATTCTTATTCATATCACATTTCAAGCTTTCTCCATTCTCAGATGGAAATTGTACAACAATGGCTGCTGTTTCAAGATCCAAATGCAAATCACCAACAAAATTTTCATTTGTTGACTTGTTTGACTTGCAAGTTATTCCCTCAAGATCATACAATACAAATTCATTGACCATGGAGTTATCAAAAGCTCCTGTGTTAACTAATTCTGTACATAAATAACACGAAACCCGCATCTTGCCAATTGTTTTTGTAAGATCTTTATTTTTATTATCTTTAAATTCATTGATTTTTCGTCTATTTTGAGAAGTGTGAAAGGTGTATACCCAATCACAACCATTTCCCACTTTTGATGTTTTTCCCACCAAAACATCGTTTGAATTCTTTAATGAGAACTCAAAATAAGGCATTTGATTCTTGTTTTCCACCTTCAAAACCCCATTTAAACAAGAAGATGATACAATCAAGCCACAAGAATCACAATCAGCATATGAAAAATCATGTATTAATGATTTTTGTGAAGTAGTGTTCTTTGATCCAGCTGATGTGGCTTCATCATGTTCTTTGGTGCTAAATCCTAAAGGACTTTTCTGGGATTTTGACTTCACAAATGGGTCAAACATCTTTTTTAAAGGACTGAAACGATTCTTGGGATTTTTAGAAGGTGAATGGGGTAATTGTAATTCCAATCTTGAAGATAAAGATTTGTTCAAAGGGGTACATAAAGGATGTTGTTGTTGTTGATCTTCTTGTTTCTTGATTGGATTTATAGAATTTTCCAAAAATGACCTCGAAAGAGAGCCTAACAAGGCATCATCTTCTTCTGAATCACATAAGGAACCGAATAATTCGAAGGGTAAAGGAGTGGAATTTCTTGAAAATTCAATCTTTTTTCTACCTTCAGTTTCTTTCTCACTTGTTTTACTTACTTCTTTTGAACTTTGATATACAGAACCCCTTTTGAGTGTTGCATTGACCCCCGTTGACCTTGTTGACCGAGCATCACGACATGATTGACTTCGGTATCGATGTAAATTTATCTCTGTAAATTCCTTGTTTTGAGTTATAATTACTTTCTTTCTAACTTTTTTCTTTTCGGTTTTTGAATGATTGGGAGATAAAAGAACAGTTTTAGGACTTCCTTCTACCACACAATACTTCTCAAAATCCAGCTCTAAATCTTGAGCCATCTATTGATTTATGATCTAGAAAAGAAAAACAAAAAACAAAACTCAAATAACAATTTAATGTGGAAAAAACAAAGATGAACAAAACAGAGAAAAATCATGAAAAGTACTTACCCACTTCGCTAACATTGAGGATAAATTGGTACTTTCTCAAGTTTCAAAGCACAGTAATTAACGTTTTGATTTATCTACACTCAAAGAAAAAGCGTAAAGAACTTACACTTGGCAGAGCAACATATGATAAGCAATGCATGTGGCTTTAGCAATTAGAAAAAAGAAAAAGATTAAGATTAAGAACCCTAATTTCAATTCCAAGAAACAGAAACTCCAAATCAAAATTCAAAAACCAGATTAACAACTCTCTCAGACAAATTATCAAACAGGTGGTAGACATAATAATGATAACAATAACAGTAAAAATAAACAAGCATGGATGATAAAATATGTTTAAAAAAAAAAAAGTAGATATCTTTATACTTACTCTTGCATTTGATGCCAGACGAAGCACAAATGATTGTTGAGGGAAAAGGCAGAGCCCCACCAGTGAACGGATCTCAATGACGTGATTCCAAAGCATTCAAAACACAAAAATCCCTTAAACAAACTAAAAACCATATCTTTAAATCTCTTGAGCTCAATCTTCTTCGCAAATTAGACATTGTTATCTCAAACCCAACAAATTAAATGGCGATATCACTCTTCAAATTATCAAGCTTTGAAGTTTGAAGCATACCCATTTTCAGAAACTTCGATAAGATCCCATAAGCGCGAGTACATTGTTGAAAAATAGAACTGGGTAGTGGGTAAAACAAAGAGAAAACAACAATGGCTTGCAATTATTCAAGCAACACAAAAGCACAAAAAGAGAATTGGAGAGAGAGAGAGAGAGAGAGAGAGAGAGAGAGAGAGAGAGAGGAGTTGCAGTTGCTATTGCTTACTGTTAATTTTACCCCTTCTCTCTCTCCCTTTCTCTTTTTATATATGTTTATTGTATTATACACGCACATGTGTGCGTATCACAGATTCACAGTTTTTCATATTTCTGTGAAATGAATAATAAGAGTGAGAGTGAGACGCCATGCTTTGTGGTTATGTCCGCCAAAACCCAAAAGCATCTTGTTTCCTTTGACCCAAGATTCATCATTTTGCCCCTTTATAAGTTTGGGTAAATGCTCAATTATATGCCCTAAAAATTCTGAAATATATAAATGAACCCCTGCTTAGTGCTTATTGATTAACAAACTTAAAAAAAAAAAAAATAAAATAAAATAAAATAAAATAAAATAAAATAAAATAAAAAAAATTAAGATATAAAAACATTTAATTCTTTTCTTCCTCACAGTTAATTATCTATCATCTGGAAAGTCTCCTTTTAAAAAGGATTTGGCTCTGGTTAAATGATACTACTAAAATGTTTTTTGAAACTGTATTTTTCACAATTTGATGGCTTGTCTACTTTGAACTCGATTGTTTTTTATTTCTTTTTCATTTAAGGACTTTTGGGCTACTTTAGTTACTTAATATTTCTTATGGAGTAGTAATAAATTCAAGGGTAGAGAAATTAGTTTGGTGGATTGGCTTTATAAGCGAATGTTAGTTTTTTTGATCCTTTGTTTTTCTGATTCTTTTTTTCGTTTTCTGTTTAGTTCATTGCTAGCGTTTTCTTAATAAAGTTTATGTTGTTAAAAAAAACTATATATCTAGCAAATTTATGAATCCATAACTTTTTTGTTTTGCCGTTAAAAAAAATAATAATAAATAAATAACGTTTATTTTATTAGAAAAAAAAAAAAAGTTATTCTATCTTTCGTACTTTTTCTCATATGTATACAAGACACGTATTATTTTCTTCCAATATGTTTCATACATGTGAACAATATATATAAATGAAAAATATAAAAGCAAGCTATTGTATTTTATATTGTTGAACTATAATCTAATTCATTTTCTTTTGTTTACAAGATTATTTGTCTAAACTAAAATAAAGAAGGAAATACAAAATATAGATTTAGGACAACGTTAATAAAATCATCATTTTTTTCAAATAAGTCCACAAACAATATTCTCGAACAAAATAATTGATTAGCCATATAAAACATAAAACATATAAATATATATGTGTATATTTTACCATTATTACTAATTGCTTTTGCATGTTACACATGAGTGACACCATAATCAAGATTGTGTCATTTTAAGTTGGTTAGTTGGACTATAATCGCTTTCTATATTTTTATCATATTATAGTTGAGATATCACAAAAAATACTAATTAAATGATAAGTAAAAGTCTGAGTTAAAAATTTATAATTGTGACTGATATTTATAATGTTTTATTTCTTAATGTTGTTGTGTTTTATGCAACAACTCAAACGGTATATAACTATAGTTTATGACTTATAATTTGTAAAACATTGATGTCACTTGTGCAAACTAGTAGCAAAATATACATGTTTATATGTTCAATAAGTGTAGAGATTTTTTTGTGTTAAAAAGAATTAAGATCTATTTGTAAAAAAGATAAATATATATATATATATATATATATATATATATATATATATATATATATATATATATATATATATATATATATATATATATATATATATATAATAAACTATTGAGATTAAAATGCTATAAAATGAGTTCAATTTGTAGACTAATAATCACCTTCAAAAACAAATATTTTCAAACTATCAGGGAAGTAAACTGACAATCTTTATACCTAGATGGTTGAATATGAAAATAAGCAATGGAGGCAAGTTTAAAATTTTCAATTGCAAAGTTGCTTTTTTGCTCCCTTCAATGATGCTAGGATTTTAGGACCGTAAAACTTGTTAAAATAACAATTACCCTTGTGGTTCGTGCAATATAAAAGCTTAGTTTCGTTAATTTATAAATCCAATATCCAAATATCACTTGGAGAAAGATCATAACTTGTATATTTAGTTGGAATTGCTTTAAGAACATTTGTGCTAGATATATTTCTATATATTATATGAGAACAAAGTAATATACTATAAACATTAAAATTTTAATCTAGTTATAAAGTACGAACACATCAATATAATGCAATTTTATATTTTAAAAAAATATTCTATAACTGTTCAATCCAACATAACCGAGTCCAATAAATTTACAAATACCTAAGATTTAAATTAGTTTCATTCCCCATTTTACAAATAGCTAATAAGATTTAAATAAAAACATCAAAGATTTAAGCAATATTCAACCATTCGAAGTATAAAGCTTGAAATTGATTGCGATATCGATGGCATAGACTTTTATAATAAAACAGAATAATCGGATGTTGTCACATCTTATACACAATCACTGCCTGCACTCTCTCTTTTAACTTGCTAGGTTGTCTTTTAGCAAGAAAAGAAAGAATAAGAAGTGTATGATTGGAACAAGAACAACATCAGAGGTAACAATTATCAGAGAAAAAATAAAAATAATCATATTCAGTTTAGGGATTAAGTTTTGGTTCTGTTTAGTTTTTATACATGTCCTTAAACTTGCATGTTGCAATGCTTTGTCTTTCATCATTTATGTGAAGCTTCTTTTGATTTTGTAATTAGGTTATTTCCTCATATGGGGACCAAATATATGAACGATATATGGAGGATGTTGCTTGTTGTTGGGGATGGTGTGTCCAAAGATGGATGATAGAGTACAGATGTTCAGAGACGTAACTAAAGTATACCAAGGTGGGTACTAGGACCCACCTAATTATCTTAATTGCAAATTTAATTATATTGCAAAAATTTAGAGGAACTACCTTAAATTTTTTGAAGTAACTACCTAATAATTTTTCACAAAAACAAAAATAGCATAATACCTAAACCAACTTATTATTTATCCAACAAAAATTAGTCCAATTCATTAAAATTAAATTAAACAAAATTAATAATAATGAACAAAAGCCCACAACTTAATTGTCGCCAACACTTTTGGCTTTTGTGCGTACGTGTTGCACGTTGATTCAATAGAACGACCAACTATGAAATTTTATCATGTGAAAAAGATTTATTCGAAAGTTTCGATTAAGATAACATTATCAATATATTTGAAGATATAAGCTTTAAATTTGCCAATGCAGACGTTGATTCAATAGAACGACCAACTAGTAGCGGGTCGGATACAATCCTAAAAATGATAATATTTTGACCCGACCCACTACTAGTATATTTAGTTTGTTATATGTTTCAGGGTTATTTAAATAAGAAACCACGTGGTTTTAAATTTTAAATTCATCAATGCAGATGTAGTTTTAGGTTCTAAATTCGCCACACTGTAGTTATATAGTGGTCGAAGATAAGGACGATGGACAAAACTATAGGCTTTTGATTGAGGATGAGGCTGGAGAAGATGTAGGTGGAGGCAATGTCGGTGGTGGGTAACCAATGTTTTTAAACAATGATGTAAGGAACGAGACATTAAACGATGAAGTAAAGAATATATATATGCATGACCCACATAATTCTATCGTAATAATGATAATAACAATTAAAAGAAAATATAACATGGTGGGAAATCTTTTCAATTTGGCATGTCTTAACGGAATAAATAAACGACAATTAAATGTAGGGACCAAATAAACAATATGTTTTTTGTTTTGGTTCTTCTAGACCAATAATGCAAATTTGAAATTTTTTGGACATATTTATAATGTTTTACAAACTACAAGGACCACTTTTACTAGTTTACTCAACTATTTGGGTTCGGCCGCACAGTCGCTACTGAGAATTTGAGAGACGACGCCGAGTCGCCGACACAAGTTCACAACTCTCTCTCTCTCTCTCTCTCTCTCTCTCTCTCTCCCCCCCGGTGAAATCGACAACCGTTGAAGCCTTCACCCTGCCGCCATCGACCATCGCTGCCGCCTGCCGCCGTAGACTGTCGTCATCATCTCCGACGACCTGATTTCATCTCCGGTAATACATTATAATTTTCTGATTTCTGATTTTGAGTTAATATCAGACGAGCAACTGTTAGGGTTTATTGAAAAGATACATATAGTAAACAAGACAATCCATGCCTTGTTCACTTACTGCTTTCAAGATTCAAAAGTAACAATCTAGCTTCCAACCATTTCATTGTGCTCATTAGGATCCAGTCCACCATAGTTACAGAAAACTACAGAGACATGGGCAAGAAAGGATCCACTGCAATTTCTGGACCTCAAATGTCAGTCACAATCAGAGAAGCTTCAACAGGGAAGAAACACACAAACGCTAAATCTTCATTAAAACTACAACATATAAAAAATCTTGCAATGTGGGCCACTCATGATGCATCTATACCTTCATTGGGTGCCTTTTTTGGTCATCATTTTGCAGCTTCTTCTGAGGCTTTGGCAACACCAGTTGATCCATCCTTGTTTACTTGTCAAAGGTACTCTCTTTTTCTCACGAAGGGCAATTTGGTCATATCTTGTGTGCTTAATGGAACCTGATGTAACCATTTGATTCTTGTGTAGATGTGAAACTATACTTCATCCTGGCTACAATTGTACAATCCGAATTGAAAAAAACAAGCAAAAAGCTCAACACAAAGGCAAGAAAGCTTCTCATTATCCTCAAAACAACATTGTCTACACTTGTCATTTTTGTATGCACAAAAATATGAAAAGAGGCACTCCAAGAAACACAAATCCACCAAAGCCCAAACCAAACACTATACTAGCTCCACCGGGGTCTACTGACAAGGGTAAAATGGGTATTTTAGTAAAAAAAGACTCTGATCCAGCAATTCCAACATTGACATTGTTGGAGTCCAAGAAGAAGAGGAACAGGTCAGGGGATAAGAAGAAAGTGGCATATGATTCAAATGAAGAAAAATCAGTGAATGCATCTACTAATAGAAAAAGAAGAAAATCTTGGACTAGTTTGAAGGAGATTGCTGAAAGTAATGACAATGATAATCGCCTCAAGTTGATGAACATAACAATCCCATTTTCAATGGAGTAAAGATTTTATTTTTTTTTATTTTTTTATGTTTAATTGATAATGATGTTTCGAATTACTATTTGGTCCATGATCGACATCTTTTTCCTCATTGATACATGTGCCACAAGTAATAGTTTGAGTCTCAATTCTTCTAGATCTAAGTTCCACTAGCTTATACAAATCAAACAAAACACAGCAAACAAGACAATAAACCAATATATATTGTTTTTTAAACTAAAACCAGAAAAACATAGTTTTGTTTATAGTAATATTTATTTTAAGCATGATTTGTGCTTACCAAATTATTCAAAATCTTGAATAATTATTTTGTTAAACTAGATGTAAAATATAACCCATAAATTAGATGTAAAATATAAGCCATAATGTAGTCAATGTTATAATCTTACAAACAAAATGGTTTTTGGAACAAGATATTTAAAGTAATTCAATCTTGCGTTGTGGGCCAAAGTTAAAGTAAGGTAGTTTCCTTTTTTCCTATGTTGGATTTAACTTGGCAATTTTGGATCAAAAGTGGCAATTTGTACAATGTATTTTTACAAGAAATTGCCAACTTTAATACAAAATTGACATGCAACATTCAATAGAAAAGTTAAAATCCAAGTGAATAACAACATAAGTTCATTTTTTAATTTAAAAAATATATATTCATGTAAAACAAGAGCACATTTTAATAGTTATTAATTACAGGACAAAATTTTATGCAATGTAGCCACATGTGAAACTTTGATAATGATTTGTATGCTTTTTTATAATCAATTATTTTACCTTTTACTAGGTTATGAGATAAATATAATCTTCTCTAATAAATTAAGATTGTTTTTTATATTTGTCAACTCTCATTCAATTTGTCAAATGAAATTTTATGGTTATTTTGAATTATTATTTTTTCACATGTCATTTTATGAGTTTTTCTAGTTTATTAAATTTCACATAATATTTTAATATAATACTTGCATTAAATGAATATCAATTTTATTAATAAACTTACCTTTTAATTTCAAAATTCTCAAAATTAATGTTTATTAGTTCTTTTAGTTATTTAAATTAGTATTTATTTAAATTTAAAAGATAAAAAATATTTCTATTATAATAATTCAATATTTTTCTTATTTTCTTATAAATTCAAAGTTTTCAAATATTTTGATTTTTATATTTAATTTTTGTTTAAATTAACCCATATAATACATGAGCCTTACACCTACTTATAAAATAAACAAAAAACTAAACTATGTCATTACTTACATAAAAAAAAAGATATATTATTTACAATACGATCTTTTTAGAATAACAAATCAGTTGTAATAAAAACAATTATCCAGAAGTTAGCCAAAAAAATAATAAAATATCAGGTTATTAATAGATTTTTAATCAAATCTGATCAGGAATATAATATGAATAGGAACTTGGATATTTTCGGATTATATATTCAATGCTTTCCAAACTTCGTAATTTTGAATCAATATGTTTGGTCTTACACGAAATCTAATTTGTGATAATCAAAGAACTACTATCATCATATTCTGGCATGATATGAGATACAAACCCAAAAATAGAAGACACTAATTGTTCTGTGTTTTACAAGACACGAAAAAAAAAAAAAAAAAAAAAAAAAAAAAAAAAAAAAAAAAAAAAAGTTAAGAAAGAATATTTTTTGTTGCAAAACTATAAACCTATAAATATAGGTATATGGAAATTAACTGCAATTGGTTTTGACATCAAATATCATGATTGTTCCAGACATCTTGGTAGTCCGCTCCGCCTACAAATAATGTTACTCGGTCGTTTAGGACTTAGGAGGACCGTCAAAATAAACAATATTTAGAATATAACTATATTTTGATTTATTGTATATATTTTATATAACACCGTGAATTTCAAGGCAAAATTTTCATTTAATTAATCAAATTAATATTAAATCACTTGTTTAAAATCTCATACACATTTGAATTACAAAAACATAGTTCCATTTTCACTTAGTAGAAAACCAGGATCCTCCAGAATACAACTCTTTCTTTGGTGTGTACAATCGAGCCGGTGCCATCCCGCGTTACTGAAAGAATCTGAAACAACATACATAAAACACTGTAAGCACGAAGCTTAGTGAGTTCCCCAATATACACCTTACGCACATACGCCTTTCCAGGCCCTGACCTTCCGGTCCACTGCACAATGCCTTCCGGCCCATGAGATAATCGCCTTCCGGCCCATAACGTGTTGCCTTCCGGCCCATAGTACATTGCCTTCCGGCCCATAACATATTGCCTTCCGGCCCATAACATATTGCCTTCCGGCCTAAAAACATATACGGCACATAATACATTTACTCTAACACATAAAGCACATATATCATATATCATACCTGACCTTTCTGTCACATAACACTTTGCCTTCCGGCCCATATAAACATGCATATCACGTGTAGCAACTAACTTTCCATTTATAGCATATATACATAACACATAACATATTCGACCTTCCGGTCACACAATCAAACCCTTCCGGGTACAGTATAGTGAGAAGACTCACCTCGTGGATGCTGGAAGTTAGCAACTCCTGAAATCACTTGCACCTGATCCGCCGAGCTACAAGCTCCCTATAACAATATATCTCTTATTAATACTTTTATCTTCCACGTTAACTGACCCTAAGAAATCACACACAGGTCAACTCTGGTCAACGGTCATCTCGATTAGACTCGGCGAGTACCCTGGCGACTCGGCGAGTCTAGTCGTCCTCACAAATTCCTGGATGCCCTTTCTACTCGTCGAGTATCTCTCTTGACTCGACGAGTTCCTCGTGGAAGAATCGTGGGGCCACCCCGACTCCACTCGCCGAGTCTGAAGAACAACTCGACGAGTCCCAGCTATTCTTCAAGCTACTCGCCGAGTCTGCTCATCCGACTCGGCGAGTCCATGCCATGCAGTCGATCAAACTGCTTCCTAAGATCAGAATCGTCCCGACCAATCATAGGTCTGGTCCTCCTAAGCTGGTCCATCACAAAAGGCCTTCATTTAGGTGCTCATGCTACACCCCAAGACTCATAATTCCCATGTTAACCTAAGGCATAAGGATTTCAATCCAAAACCTTCACCAATTCCCGAAATGCACAGACCTGGGATCTTCTGGACCTCCAAGGGTCCCAACACAGGGTTACAATCGTTTGGGGGACAAGGGTAACCATTAATCTAATCACAAAAGGGTTCCTTAAACCCTAATCTATGCACACATTCACCTAACAGAATATAATCCGGAATGTTACCTGAATAATGCCCTCCCTGTGTCCCCAAGCCTCAGAACATGATTCCCTTGTTGTTCCTTTAGCCAAAACCTTCCCCTTCTTGAACAATAACTTCTTCAAAATCACCAATAGCCTTCAATCCTTGCTCTAGATGCCCCCAACCGATTTAGGGTTCTTCTCAGCAGCTAAAAGGGAACAACGACGGCCAATGATCCCATTTATACGTCCCCAAACCTGAACGGCTAGGGTTTACGCTAAACAGCGCAGACTCGCCGAGTCCCTATCTGGACTCGTCGAGTCCAGTCGCGAACCCTCGACCAAATCTGCGATCCTACTCGGCGAGTCAGGCTCCAACTCGCCGAGTCCCCCCTTTAAAACACCCCAAAATGTGATTTAACAATACTTTGAGATTTCAGGCTGTTACATTTTAAATCCTTTGAAGCGAACTTTTTAGGTACATGCAAACAAATAAAATAGATTGGATGCAAACAAATCGAACAATCATGTTTTATAATCAATTACATGCTATTTTAGCGAAAACAACGAGAAATATAAGATTATGGAAGTGTTATTAGCAAGCGATTGTTTATCGGCTCAAAAATGGGTTGTTGAATGTGATGGCCATGATTATCTAGCACCCCTAAAACGTTGGTGATTTTGGTGTTATCAACGTATTTTGGTGTAGTTGGTATTACTATCGAGATAGAGTGAGTTTAGTTTGTTATCCAAGACTGAAGGTGCGGTGTGCACATGAGTGATAAATATGGATTTGGGAACACGAGGGTTCAGGGGCATTTCCTTCGGGTACAATGTTCCAAGGAGCAACACCCTTAGCAAGGTCTAGGGAGTAGAGCATGTGGCGGGGGTTCCGTTATACAAAAGGAAAATGGACAATTGGACATTGTATGCGAAGGTTACCAACTTTTCATATAACAGAAAACCTATTACTTGCATCTCTTTGTCTCTCTTAAATGTAAAACAAAAAGTATATTTTGTTTTTCAAATTTGGAAGTAGCTTGAATTCCAAATCGATTGTTCTCGAATTATTCCTAATCAGATTTCATGATATCCAGACAATAGGGTCAAACCCATATATTTTGGAAAGTGTATATATAAAACATGATCGATCCTTGAATTGTCCAAGTTATTATTGATATTTTTAAAATTCAAAATCTAATATAAAATGTGATAAATAAAAAAAAAACATTTTTATGAAGATTTTGAGTCCAAGAATGAAGAGCAAGTGCATGAAGAATGCAAATAAGAGGAGAAGAAGATGAACAATTAAATATTTGAACATCCGTTTTTAGTATTGAACTTGCTAAATATATTATATACTTATAGTATAATGACTCGTGACTTCAATTTTTAAACATTAGATTATAAACCTTATTTTTTATTAACTTATTTTGGTAGGATAGTGATAATATTTTATTTGTTTTAAATAAATTATTTTATAATTTAGGGTTCATGATTAATCTCATTCTAGAAGACTAGCTACCTCCTAATGATTTATACAATCTTAATGACTTATGACGTGTTTGACACGGAACGTTTGGGAGTGTCTGTGAGCTTCTAATTTAAACAAAACTCTATTGAGCTTTTAAAATCAATTTTCAGAATTGCCCTTAATATATATTGATGACGTGCCTAGGGCAGCACGGCAGAAGCACGAGCCGGACACGCCAACCGGGCTTAGCCAAGCAGGCTTAGCGTCCGTTGGAACTCCTGGGAGTGGAAGGCACAGACAAAAGGCTCGCGC